TAATCAAAATTACGTTTTTTTTTTCTATTCTTTACTCCGGGAATGCCTCGTGGCAGGAAGAGATCTCTAAAAACGGGCCATTACGTTTGCTCAGTATAAAGTATCTTTCAGTGCCTCTTATATTTGTGTGGTCCATATTCTGCGGGATCGACCTCTGTTTGTTTTTTCCCGCTGCATCTGTATAACATTGCTCTCTGAGGTGCCCTGATTGCTGCCTGTCCTGCTACATGGCCAAACCATTTGATTCTTTGTCTACCTATATAGTTCAGTATTGATTCTGTGCCGACTCTCCTTCTGATATTATCATTCCTAGGTCGATCTGTCCTCGTTTCATCAAGCATAGTACGTAAACATTTCATTTCTATCCGAACTATTTTCCTTCTGTCCTCTGAAAACTGTGTCCATGTTTGACGTTGACATCATAGCGTTTGTAAGAATATTGTATAGTTTTCGCATTTGAACTATACTTCACCTCAGTTTCTTCTTCTTAAAAAGGCGTGCTATAAAAATGTCAATTATCACAAGATTTCCTGCTAGCTTCCAATACCAGTCATCAAATGATAGATCATACCCAAAAACAATCGAATTAAAATAAAGGAGATTGCACTCATCAACCAGCAAATCTAAATGTGACTGAGTTTTAACTGCAAAGTCATTATTTTTCCAACTTATCATTTTCCAACAGGTCATTAAGACGAAAAAAGGACTGGGTGGGGAGGGGGCGGGGGGTGTTCTAGGATTCAGTTCTTCGTTTCTAAAACTCATTTTGTTTTTAACAAGAAAGTTTTTTTGTTTTTTATTTAAAGTTTATGTTCAAGTAATTCTAAAAACTCTAATTCGACGGACCGTCGTATGGTAAAGTAGATCTGTGTGTGCGGTTTGAAGACCATCACAAAGAGTATGAAAAAGCGTTGTGTTAAATGAGCTTGATTAACCAAATTCACCGCCAGTGCAGCTATTTTTAGTGCATCGTTAAGATCTTGCGTCCAAGTTTTGGCTGCAAGGGTTTGTCTGTGAACTGCACAGTGTTACAATGATGTGCGAATATGGTTTGTTACCAGCTTCAGAAACACACAACAAGAACCTATCATAGCTGGAGCATCATCTGTACAAACATCCTCTATTGGTTCACATGATAGTCCACTTTCTTGGAAATATAGTATCAGTGGTTTGAAAAAACACATTACAGGCTGTTGATGTTGTCTGTAAATGTTTGGATAAAAGTATTTCTTCTTTTAAATCACATTTATCCACAAATCCATACTATACTGTAAGCTAGCAACACCTTGTCACTTCAATGTGATATTTTAACAATTTGAAAGACATGTTTTTCTCTGTCTATTACAAGGTAATCTATCCTATGCTTCACAGTGCTACAAGAATGAGATATTGTTGTCAATTATTGACGACTTGCATCTCCAGAAACAATATTTCAGGTTAATAAAATGTAGTGTTTAGAAAGCGTTGATGATACTTCAATAGCTTTTTATTTCAACAAACTGAATGCACCAGTTAAATCGAATTGTATCTGCTTTAGGGAGTTTAGTCTGCCAGCAAAATGTTCTGGAAGTTTATTTATTGCCTTTGGATGTTGTTAGTTGCGTATCCTTTACAGGAAGTTGCAGAACCAACCTCAACAGCCGTTGGCTGTTGTGTGGTTTTTCTGGGCAAATTTACGTCCAGTAGTTTGTCATTGCTTCCTGGATGGTCGGCTTTCTTGATATCACTGTCCAAACCAGCACAAGGCGCATGGCCCGCAGCTGGGATCGAACCCGGCATTACGAAGCGTTCGCATCGATTAGCCACAGAGCCGACCTTTGGATGTACTGTATACTTAAATACTTTTCAAGTATAAATAGACTCAATTTCAAAATTGGCTGATGCTTCATCCTTTCCGATTTTTCTGCTACTTGCACTTCCTCGTGAATTCGTCCTTGTATTCGTTCTGTGTGAACCTTCATGCCATGCAGAAATGGTGTAAATGTAATGTGTGTACTTATATAAACATTATGCTTTTGTGATTTGTAGTCCGGAGATCTCTATAATTATTTAACGTACATCTTTATGTAGTAAAGACTGATTTGTACTTATGCTTCATAGACAATACAAAAGCATTTGACGTGTAAAGCATGAAGAAGTAATCAAACTATTAGAAAAATTAAACATTGATGGGAAAGATCTACGAATAATAAAGAATATGTATTGGCAGCAAACAGCAGCTTTAAGAATAAACAACTGTTTAGGTACATTTCAAAGCATAAAGAGGGGCGTACGACAAGGATGTGTGCTGTCACCTGATTTGTTTTCAATATACAGTGAATAAATAATGAGATATTTAATTGATATGCCCGGAATTGTGGTTGGTGGGCACAATATAAACAATTTACGTTATGCTGGTGACACAGTCTTGATAGCAACAAGTCTGAAAGAACTACAGGAAATGATAAACATTGTGGTGTTAGAAAGTGGAAGAATGGCCCTCAGTTTGAATAATGGGAAGACAGAAGTAATGGTAGTATGAAAGAAACAAATTATTCCTAAATGTGTAATAAACGTCAATGGTGTTATTTTAGGACAAGTACAGAAATTAAAGTATCTGGGCACATTGATAACATCAGATGGAAGATGCATAACTGAAATAAGAAACATAATTGGACAGGCAAAAACTGCATTTTATGAAATGAAAAACATCTTGTGCAATATATCCTTGTCATTGAGAGTTAGAAAAAGAATTCTTGCTTGCTACATACATCCAGTTTTAACATATGGATGTGAATCCTGGACAATCGGTAGGCAGGCCAAACAATTTTTAGAGGCCTCAGAGATGTGGTTTTACAGAAGAATGCTTAGAATACCTTGGACAGCCAAAAAGAGCAACCAAGAGGTTTTGAAAGAGGCGAGAGCCCGAAGACAACTTATCACAGACATCAGAAGGAGACAGTCATCATTTTTCGGCCATGTTATGAGAAGAGGGAAAATAGAACATGTTGTGACCACTGGAAAGATCTGTGGAAAAAGGGATAGAGGAAGACAACGAGAGAAGATGCTTGACAGTCTTGTTGCATGGCATGGAGGTGTGTCGGCACACGAACTGATACATGTTGCAGAATATCGCAGATTATGGAGAGGCATGATCGCCCACGCCAGTCGGCAAGGCACCTGATGATGATGATGATGACATCTTTATGTAAAAATACACTTCCGCTGGTGAGTTTTTTTTTTTTTTTTTTTTTTTTTGGGTGAAAAATGAGTAACTTGTTCTCCGTTTAAATTAATTACAGTTATTTCTCATGATCTTTACAAAACCTATCTTATCTTTTACTGTGTTGCAATTCAGGTCATCTACTAAAATCTAACATAAGAATACTTTACTTTGACCAGGTATTACATGGCCAATATGTTGAATTAAGTATCGACATCACATCACTTGGGAGACCCCCATAAGTATTCCGTCCCCATCTTCAGCAGCAAGCGAAGATTTCCGATGCCGATGGCGCCAGTAACCGTCTATCCGTCGCATCCGTCCCCTGAGTGTTGAGTGTCGACTAGATCATCTGGTAACACCTCGCAGCGCCATTCTCCTCATGCCATAATGATCTATCTGCGCCTTAGCACTGTTCACTCGCTCCCAAAGGACGCTCACAATCTCTAGCTTATCATGCATCAATTCATCACCAAGTGGTGCAGAGCCGGCCAATCTGTCCTGCTGCTCATTTCCCAACACACTCGCCTGACCTGGAGGAAATATTCAAAGGATGCTAACTACCCGGGACCTCCGAAATGATGCTTACCACTCTGCACTAAGCATGTCTGTCTTCAACTTTCTCAACATACTTTGTGAGTCAGTTACAATCACGGCATGTGTGTACGGCTGATTCGCAAGCCAGCTAAAGGCAGCAGAGACTGCCTCCACCTTCATTGTCAAACTTACATTGTGATATCGCAAACTGCACTTAGTGAGATTGATAATAAAGGTTACAGTAAATTATATGACGCATCCACATGTTTACAACAAACTAACTCTAAAGACAACTAGCGTAGCACAATGATTAGAAAGCTTACATAACAGTCCTGTGGACGTGTGGTCAAATCCTCATAAAGGCTATAGTTTCTTATCTGAATTGGGCTCACATGTCGCAAGTAGACATGCAGTATTTTCAATATCCCTGTTGTGTAAAGTATCACAGATAATATACTACTAATGATAAATCGTAGTAAAAAAACAAGTAAAGTACATGAGGTTGAATTGTGCCACGTTGGTAAAACATTACTGCCACGTCGGAATTGAAGCAGGCACGACCCATCAGTGAAGACAGAGGGCATCTCTTATTGTTTGATCTATCTTCCAATCCAAGTGACAGCATCGATTTGCTCATGCCAATTATATCTGCAAATTATCTACGAACAGCAGATACTAAAGATCAACTAGTCCATCTTGGGGTGCTTACCATAGAATCAGACATCACAGTTTCAGTTTCCAAGAAGCGATAAACATACTAGTAAAAGCAAATTTGTAAAGAAAGTCCCAAAGTACCATACGTTTCGCAGTATGATTACTATAATGTTCAAAAATAAATAAACGCATAGCTACTACAAGGAACATACATACTCACCATTCCGAAATTCTTCATCTTTGTAACGCAATAAGTGAAATTATTCAAATTTCACACAAGATTACCTTAGGGTTTCATCAATCAGTTGACTCGCTTAATTGCTTCTGGGTAACGATAATTTTAGGGGTACGGCCTTTCCAGTTAGAATGGTATCCGGCCTCCTCTAGCCAACAGATAGGCAAAATTCGGGGCTTGACGCGGGTTAAAGCATTTTTGGTAATTCGGGGAAAATTTAGTTTGATTTCCGTCCCTTTTAATATTCTTTCTCCCCTCAGGAGCGGATTATTGACACAAACTGGAGTTCCGCTGTATAGTGGATTTTTGGACATAAACATCGTATCAAAGAGATCACAGAAAGAAATGACAAAAACCCAGTGTTTTACTTACCCCCACCATGTGTCTGCGTCAGATATGGGAATCGCCATACATTTCCCAGACCAACCGCGTACGAGATCACCATAAAGAAGTACTGCATCTTAGAATCCCAGGTGGCGCGGACACGATCCTCTGAGCTGTCTGCTAGAACTCTAGAAACGTCACCATTTTCGCCACTATCGGCCACTCCGAAGTTGGCTGGTTCCGCAGCTCCATTTAAAGGAGCATTGCCTTGTCGATCACTTAGTTGTTTCTTCAACATGTTTACTATAAGACACTGAGTTTATAATCTCATTTCTACAAGACTACTAGTTACCAAATAATAAACTAATGGAAATTGCTCAGTGGCTTGGGTAGGTAAGATCCCTGAATGAGTTGGGCAGGTAATGTCCCTATGGAGGATCTGTTTCGCCTTCTACAGAACTATTGGTTGCCCACTGAAATCGGTTTATTGTCCAAATTTCCGAGGAAGAATGGGTTCTGATGACTGATATCCTTGAAAAAACGCCGTAAATGGTGACTTTCTGAGTGACGGACAGAAATGCTTATGCTGCCTTACTAAGATGATTCAATGAATCCAGGTCCAGATTCTGCAACGTTCTTATTCACAAAGTATTGGCTTGGTAAAGCTGATGCTGTTCGTCAAGTATAAGTAATCCAGGGCTAAAAAAATACATTTAGAGGATACATTTAAAACATTGTTTAGGTCATAAATATTTTTATTCACACACACACACACACACACACACACACACTCACACACACACACACACACACACACATACATGTATATATGCGTGAGTGTGCTATGTGTGCGGGGAGTGTCCATAATTCTTTAATTTTTTTTTTTAAGTTTTTAAATAGGAAATTATCCATGTCCAACCTTACACCTATGTTCTAGTTGTTTTTACGTTTTCCGCCAATAAAAAAAAAAAAAAGAGCGTAACTGGCCTTTCATTCGTGTATCCTGACCTTTCACACGCTCTAATCTATGTTACGGGGGTGTCACGTAGCGCTGTCTTCGACGGTCTCTCAGGCGATGACACGTATACTATATTACACGATGTGATCGCTTTTAACTACACAAGAAAGTCTAGAACTGGTTCTAACCCCAACCCCCTACCCCAAAGCCTCAGCCTACTTCCCACTAGAGAGTGCAGGCTAGGACCCTTGTCGCATTATATTGTCTTTGATACTATCACCGGCTGTATCCAATGCTCTATATTACACGATCTGACCACTTTTACCGACCCCACAATATCTACAACTAGCCCTAACCCCCAGCCTCAGCCTACGTCCAACGAGAGTCCATACTATTGCCCATTATTTTACAGTTGTTAACATTTTCAGGTGGCCAGAAAAACCCGTCTTCCTGCAGAAAAGTAACGCTGTTCTCATTCTCGCTCGTCAACGCTGACAACTGAACTAAAGTCATGTCGTACATGAACTCCCTGATATACGCAATGTCGCCGAACGCTCACAACAATAACCTGAGACCGCTCTAGCATAAACCAGCGCGTGTCACAGATTAGGAAGCATGAATAAAAGGCCAGTTATGCTCTACTTGTGGTGGAAAACGTAAAAAGTTCATGTTTGTTCAAGCAAAGATCAGAAACTGCTCTTAGTCTGCCAGGATTTCTTCTTCTTTAACTTTATTGTTGTTACTACAAACTTTATCACTCTCCTCTTCGTTCCCAAAGAATGTGTGTTGGTTTTTCCTTCCGCAAGTATAGGGTCTTGTGTGGAAAATATATTGATTATACATTTGTTGTTGCCTGTCTAATGTGTTCTGTCGGTATACAAGTATATAAAGATATTTCTTTCTCATCGGAATTCAGAGCCTCTGAGGTACATTGAAGCAGATATCACCCGATTTCATCAATCTCTGCCACTACTCTTTTCAGTTGATGACATGTTTGTAGGTCTGTATTTATATCATCTCGTCACACTTTTCTTGTCTCCCTCGTAGTCTACTCTCATTCAGCTCTTTTGTGCAAAGTTTATAATCTCTGTTATCTGCTTTTTTTCTTCATATTCAAGCATTGCAATTCGTTAGCTTTAACGAATCCAGTAATTTTTTTATGATTTAAAAAGGTTTATAAGCTTCAATGTTGCTTCTCGCTCTCTATTCTTCGCTATTTGCATTTTGATAGGGCCAAAGATTTACCTCTAAAACTTTTTAAGGATTCGTCTCTTTTAGGTGTATTCCCGATTTCAGAACAAATAAGGCAATTGGTCTAAGCAGTCTTTGTTTACTGTAATCTTGGCGGTGCTGGAGAGATTTAATTTTAACAGATGCTGCAGGGCAAAGAATACGTGATTTCTAAATTGTATTCTAGATTGTGTGTCTTTTCCTAATATGTCGGTGCAGCTGAAATGTCTGTTCCGGTTCTTGTAAGTTTCTGTTCTTTGTTTGTGTTCTTTTTTTTTTTTTCAGATTACCTTTTTGCTTTTGTCCAAAGTTGTTATCCCCTCCCTCTTATGCTATTATTATTATCTGTCATCCTGGTTAATAACTGATGTCATTGTTAGCTGTTTTTGGTTGTTTCTAGTCGATTGACTCCTAATATATTTATGTTATTTGCGCAACAAAGCACTCTTGCTGTTTCTCTTATAGCACAATCTTCTTTTACCATCTTTAGAATTTCTAGGACCAAGCTAAAAATAACCTAGGATAGGCCATCACTTTGTTTTAAAACACAGTCACCGTCTGATTGTCTGGCTACTGATTCACCACATGTAAGTATCTTCGGTACATAGTCTGGTCATTTCTGATTAACTTCTGTATTATTACAAAGTCCTGAAAAGCATTCGACAAAGTATCCAATGTACGTTATCGTAAGCCTTTTTCTAAAATCCACACAAACTGTAAGTATATCTGAATTTTCTCAGATTAAAAAGATTATTTATCGATTATGGGTCTGTTCTGTATGAAGCGAGCCTTGTAGTCACATAGAATATCTCTCGCTTATGGCTTAAGTCTGTTTAGTCATAGCGCTGAGAGTATCTTATAGTCTCAGATAGGTATCGAAAGTATTTGATCAACTCAACAGATGCAAACTATGGAATATTCTAAAAGACGAACTGTACCAGGCCACCCGTTGCTGTGGTTCCGTTTGGCTAAATGGAAAAGAAAGAAAATAGAAAGCACACGTGTCTAATTTGGTTAATTTCGCAATCAGTATCTGCGCAGATATAGAGATAGTCTGGTTTGCCGGCTCTAGAACACGCAAAATATAATTATGTCTTTAAATAAGTGATCATTTAAATTGTATTATAGAGACTAAAAATAATTTTTTAATTTTTATTTTTATTTTTTGGATCACATGCTAAAGCTGTTTGTATTCTTAAAGAGCTGAAAGTAAAGCTTACTATTGTTCTTCTAAATAACCAACTTATTCGCAACAAATGATATTTTTTTCACTTGACCTTGTCATCCCTATCCACCCAGGCTGAAATTGATAGCAGGAATTGTAATGAGAAGTATTGCGGCTAGTGTAATATTTACAACACCAATAATCAAGTACCAGTTCTACTACTACAACCAGCACCACAACAACAACTAAAAGAAATGTCGCAACTGCCTTTAACCACCTTTCTTGATCTGGGTAGACAGGTGGTCGTGAGCCAGAGAATTTGGCGCCGTATTGCTAGTGCTGTCGCCAAGAACGCATGACTGCCCGACGTTGTAACAAACTGGCCAACCACAACAACCACTATTCTGTTACAGCTACTGTTGCTGCTAATATGAGCAGATTAATCTTGCAGGCAAGGCAGTTACTGTGACTATAAGCTCAAACCCACCGACTGCTATTCTCTACCTCACTGAAGGAATGCCAACATCTGTACATTTCCATACAACCTGTCAACACTCTTCGTTGCCATAACGACAGCTTCATGCAGATTTCTGAGGTCAACAGTTGAAGTTTACCCACCAATGGAAATTTTCAAAAAAAAAAAACCGTGCCGGGAACGCGGCAACGAAAAAAATCGGATCGTTGGAAAACAAAACTAAGATTTTGATGAGATATAGATTATGATATTCAAGATCAGCTGTTGGGTAACATCATGGCTCTTTATTAAAAAAAGTAAGTTCTCCGTAAGAACAACAGAAGAAATGACAGACTGGTTTCCCATCTCATCAGGTATCAACAGGGATGCGTCCTCTAACCATTGCTTTTCAATACTTACACGGATAGAATTACTCAGACACTGAAAAAAATCAATGCTCTTTTTTTTCCAGATAATCAATGTCTATCACATCAGCAAGAACAGAATTCACAATACTATATTGATTCCTGCACAAATATGATATGGCGAAAAAACACTGCGAGATCTGAGGTAATTAAAATAGACAGAAAACATAAGATCACGAAAGTTCATGTTAATGATATTACGATCAAACAAGAACGAAAATTCAAAGATCTAGGAAGCATAATTACAGAAGATGGCAGACTCGACAGAGGCTCGATAAAGAGTTGCAAGTCAGATTACAGAAGGCAAACGCTGTCACCGACCAGCTAATCCCACGTCTTAGACACCAGAATGTCTTATTTCGCTCAAAACAGCAAATTTATTTCCACTTTATGCTATCAGTGCCAATCATGGACAATTAATACAACAGTAGAACAGAAAATGACTTCATGTGAAATGCACTGTCTCCGTAGTCACTAAAAACACTAGAAGGAACAGGGTTACGAATACCAGAATTAGAGGTAAATGTGGAATAAGATCGCTTGTGAATCATGTCAAAGAATGAAATGGTTCCCACATCTACTGAGAATGCAGCCTGATCAAACTGGAGATTTATTACAGCAGAAGATTTGCGAAAAAAAGGAGAAGAAGAAATCAAGAAGGAGATCGTGTGGCTGGTACTTATAAATGGATTAATAAATCACCCACACCACGCGAGAAGCGTAAGACAAATAAATACAGAAATCCACGGAAAAAAAAATGTGTTTAATATTTTTCGTGTTCTTTCTCTATCAAACTCTGGGTGTGGCTTTTGCGGCTTAGTGAAACGGGATCTCTAAAGCTTAATTTTTAATTTTGTATCAACCAGGAAGTGGTCGCTGATATAACGTCTACCTCATAGTATGTTTGATAAATTTATATTGTTTATCAAAATGTGATTTCCATGTTGGTTTATTTGTGTCGTGTGTGTGTGTGAGAGAGTGTGTGAGTGTGTGTGTGTGAGTGTGTGTGTGTGTGTGTGCGTGTGTGTGTGTGTGTTTTAGACCCTACTCATCAACCCGACTAATC